GTGTCAATGTTTGAATGACTCTGTCAACCCATCAGTCATCTTTACTACTGAAACCTAATTTTTTAAATTTAATTAATTAATTTATACATTATTGTCATCATCACCCGAGTCCGTTCTTGCCAACGGGCCCGTTTTTTGCACACCTGGCACTGCCAGTGGCAGGTGTGCAAACTTAAACTCCGGATATTTATGATAGAACATATAGTGTGACTCAGTGGTTGTGGCACCGGGGGAATTCTCGGACCCTGTACTGTACGCCACTGAACCACTGAAGTCACTTCAATTTCAACCCTTCAGTGCATAAATTATCTAGTCGTCATCATTGTCGACGTCAGACTGAGTCTGTGACACGTGAGTGGCTGTGGCACCAGGGATTTCTCACCTGGTACGCCACTGAACCACGACGTGTCGTCAGGTGAGTGGCTGTGGCACCAGGGATTTCTCACCTGGTACGCCACTGAACCACGACGTGTCGTCAGTGGCCGTGTGTGGCACCGGGGATTTCTCGCCCGGTACTACTGCACTGAACCACGATATGTCGTCTGTCAGTCAGTGGCCGTGGCACCGGGGATTTCTCGCCTGGTACGCCACTGAACGCCACTGAACCACGGTGTGTCGTCAGTGGCCGTAGCACCGGGGATTTCTCGCCCTACTACACTGACTGACGTGTCGTCTGTCAGTCAGTGGCTGTGGCACCGTGGCACCGGGGATTTCTCGCCCGGTACGACACTGAACCACGATGGCACCGGGGATTTCTCACCCGGTATGCCACTGAACCACCGAGCGACGTGTCGTCAGTGGCTGTGGCACTGCACCGGGGATTTCTCACCCGGTATGCCACTGTGGCACCAGGGATTTCTCGCCCGGTATGCCACTGAACCACCGAGGCACTTGTCGTCGTCGCTGAACTTCGTGGTCAGTCAGTCAGTGGCACCGGGGATTTCTCGCCCGGTACTCGATTGACTGAGCTGAGCCACCCAGCAACCCCATCAGGTGAGCGCTGTGGCACCGGGGATTTCTCGCCCGGTACACACCACTCACCGAGCTCGAGGTGCTGTCTTCGGTCGCACCGGGGATTTCTCGCCCGTACCGCCACCGAGCTTGTCGTCGTCTGTGGCACCGGGGATTTCTCACCCGTACCGCCACTGTGGCACCAGGGATTTCTCACCCGGTATGCCACTGTGGCACCGGGGATTTCTCACCCAGTATGCCACTGTGGCACCGGGGATTTCTCACCCAGTATGCCACTGTGGCACCGGGGATTTCTCACCCGGTATGCCACCGTGCGTCGTCGTCTGTGGCACCGGGGATTTCTCGCCCGTACCGCCACTGTGGCACCGGGGATTTCTCGCCCGGTATGCCACCTGGCACACCCACCGGGGTTTACACACCCGGTACGAGTGGCCAGATCAAACTCCGAAGTCAGAACCTGAACCTGAATGTCTGAAATCTGAACCCCCTCATGCTGCGCCTGGGTTTAAGGTGGTCAGGGTTACTAAGAGTATAAATAATAAAGCCTACAAGTTATTTCAGTTTAAGTTCACTGTACTAAGTAACTCAGTCTCTCTCGGGTTAGTCATTTTCAAATATTAATATATTCATGCTATTATTATATTAATAACCCACTTAAACTTAGGTCTGAGTAAATGTCAAGCAGTGGGGCTCGGGTCGGCTCGGATCAGGCTGTAGGGTCTGGTCTAGTCTTAACTTAATTAAGCCAAACTGACACTTCTCTACTGATACTTACTTACGGATTTCTCAGATGGTCTTGTGTCTACTATTATTATAATTTACCGTAGTAGCAGTATTGCATTACTATTATTGATTGTCAATCCAGTCTCGGCATAAAAGATTAAGTTCAGGTTCGCTGCGGTTCAGGGTTGGGACGTAGTATTACGTTAATCATAATTACATTATTATAGTTAGTTAGTTACTTAAGTTAAGGGCTCCGGACAGTCGCGCTGCACCACTGCCACCGCTGCCGGCTGAAGCGCTTGGCGGATTCAGGTGAGGCTTGATTATGATTATTATTCAAGGATCACAGGGGCTAAGTCTGGACAACAAGTACACTTTAGATCGGATTAGAGATGGAACTGGATGAATAGATTAACGTATTGGCCACTAGGCAAGGTAAGAAGATTTTAGTATTTTCTTAGATGGACTTCTGTTGTACTGTACTGCATAACTAGTATGTGGTTATAGTTAATCACTGACTGAAACACATGGGTGTGGCATTTGTCTCACGGGATGAGAGAAATAATGATGCACTGCTGATGAATCACTGTTTTACTAAATTTGATTAAGGACTTCCCAACACCAATGCCCTGAATCCTCAACACCAAAAGTTATCCACTTCTGTGCTCTAGAGGAACTACAGGTCAGGGCAGGTCTTGCAATACTACTAATACCACAATCACAAAGATGTCTGCCAATGGGGGGGCTTATTTATATCAGAGACTGTGACCGACCCAGACCCTAGCAATTCAAACACTAATCCTCGAAAACCCTTGGCCCAAGACCCTAACTTAAAACCCCCCACGTTTAGGAATGTTCAACATAATTATTTATGGTCCCCAAACTGAACATTACTTACTTGTACATCACAAAATCCCCCTGCACCGACCGCAACCGTCATCCCTCAAGCCCTGAACCTACTATCCCTAGACCTTATGTCAACATCCCGACCTGAACCCGCAACCCTAAAACCCTTTATCCCTCAAGCTTAACATCCTAAACCTTTCACCCTACTAAAGCCCTAAGTTCAGGCCTTCAGGCTGGGCAGATGTAGACTGACACAGGACCAGGAGAGTGAGTGAGACAAGGGCAGCATCAAGCGAAACAGCAGCAAATTGTCACGTTTTTACTTCTGATGTCAATGTCAATGACTGAAGGAACATCTCAAATTGTTTCAGCAATTGAAATCACAAAGTGGCATAGAGGTTTCAAAATCAATGAAACATAATAATAACAATGAAATCAAAACATACCCTGTGCAAATTAAGTCCAAAGCAATTGTCAGTCTTACATTTCGTGCATCCATAGTCCTGAGGTCCTTTGGCAAAGTGTCAGTGTCATCATGCTTTGTGTCAGTGACTGTATGTGTGTGTGTGGTTGGCTCCTAATGCACATCAACTTAGTAAGTTGATCTGCATGATTCACGAATTTGTGTGAGTAGTATCAGAAATAATATAACAGAAGGAGGAATGTAGTAATCGAAATCACATTTTCAAACAATAGGCAGAAGTTTGCAACAAGAAAAGTAGTAATAGTTGTAATAGCAGCAGTAACAGAATATAATAATTACATTGTGTAAAACATAGTAATAACAGTAATAATAACAATAATAATTAATAATACTAATAATAGTAATAATAATAGTAGTAATAATAATAATAGTAGTAATAGTAATAATAATAATAGTAATAATAATAATAATAATAATAATAATAGTAATAGTAATAATAATAATAATATAATAATAATAATAATAGTAGTAATAATAATAATAATAGTAATAGTAATAATAATAATAATAGTAATAATAGTAATAATAATAATAATAGTAATAATAATAATACTAATAAATAATACTAATAAATAATACTAGCAATAATAGTATTTCATAGTATACTTTAAATAAGAACAGTACATAAATACACGGGGCCCCTGCAAACCCAATTTTGCTTCTCAAAGCCCCGGCGTCCAGAACGCCCCGCCCCCCCAAAACTCTCTGATTTGAGAAGGCTAGTAAGGTTTTGAGGGATAAAACCCTGTAGTTCTATAAGAAGGAGCCCTGAAATAGGATCGGTAATGACAAGAATAGGGCTGGGGGGGATATGTGATTCTATTTTTCGAACAAGGAACACCAAAATAGTGTTGATAATTGTTTAAGGCCCTGAGTATTTGGAATAGGGCTTTGTTCCTTTTTCAGGGGCCGGGGGTCCTCCAAAGGGCTCTACAAGGGTTCTATGAACAGTTATACTAGACCCAAGAGTAACCTAGGAATAAAAAGGGTGCTATGAGGGCTCCTTTAAGGGATCGATAGGGGTTTAGGGTTTAGGGACCCAAGAGTAACCCTAGGAATAAAAAGGGTGCCCTTTTCGGGTCAAGGGGGCTTCGAAGGGAACCTGAACCCTAAAAAAGGGAATAGGGACGTACTCTGGGTCCTAGTATACTGCACGAGGCACTCTTCACAGAGTAGGGCCTTGGGGTATACTGTAGTATAATCGTACAGATCTATAAGCACTACAAAGTGGCTGCTATTACTACTCCTCGGGCAGTGGATCTGGTAGCTCCCGAAACTCTTCCACCCCCTCCCCCGGAGCGGAAGCATGTTCGGACCAACCCGAGGAATGCGTCTTTCATAGCTTGCGGTCTGGCTACCAGCGGCCTGATCCATTATATCCATATCTGCCATCTGCGCCGTCCAAACGGCATCGGCATTCCTTGGGCCAGGTTCCTTTGGCAGGCTCAGATCAGCCCGCTTCTTTGAAAGCATGCGCCATGTTGCTGCAACTCACAGCGTAGGAAATCCACCTGACCATCAAACTCCGCATGAACCGTGGAACAGGGTCCCATTCTGCAGCGGGCACACGGAAAATGCCTGGGCGTGGCTTTGTGCGATCTCCGCGAACAAGGCTTCAAGTCCCTCTAAGGCTCCAAATAGCCCAAAAGCCTTCTATAGTATGGTTTTGGGCGTTCAGGGTTTAGGGTTTAGGGGGCGGCTTAAACTTAAAAATTAGAGCCTTCTAGGGAGTAGCCGGAGTAAGGCTATCCTAATTGCTAGCAAAACCGACGCCGTGTATGAGGAAAATGGCAACCCCTAAACTCTGAACCCCTAAACCCTGAAGTCTTAAACTCTAAACTCAAATCTCCAAGGAAAATACAATGCTTACCTGTAGCCAGAAAGACCTACCTCTTTATGGAACGTAATTTGAAACCATAATAAGGACCCCTCAAGAGGTAGGTCTTTTCGGCAGAACTAACAACCTCGTCTGCTCCTTCTGCACGCGTAAGAAGCGGCGGAAGACCTGCGGCAAGCGGGCATAGAGGCTTAGGGATTAAGGGTGTGTAGGGCTTTAAGGTTTTTGGGCTTAGGGTTTCGGCGTTTAGGAGCGGTTTAGGGTTTACGGGCTTAGGGTTCAATTAGTCTTGCCAAGAGGGTATCATTACTGCCTGCTTGAAATTAATCTTGCCAAGAGGGTATCCTTACTGCCTGCTTGAAATTAGTCTTGCCATGTCTTGCCAAGACGGTATCATTACTGCCTGCTTTAGGTTTAGAGTCCAGGGTTCAGCGCCGAGGAGTCGTACTTCAGGGTCCCCGGTCCTGAATGCAAGAGTTTAAGGTTTAGGGCTTAGGGAAATTATAAGACAGGGGAATGAGAATTTTTGAAATGCAAATGTCTCGATCAGGGGCTGCACGAAATTATGCCTATACACGAAGACTCCAGTTGTTCAGCTTCCTTTGATCCTCGGGACCTTCCGTGGCTTGATATTCTGTTCCCTAACCCTGAACAACCTACCTTTTTTTCGCACTTATATAAGGATATCATAATAAGGAACTCTAAAACGGTAGGTTTTCAGGGTTAAGGTTGGGCTTAGGGTCTATAGGGCTTACGATTTGGGGCCTGCGATTGTGGTCCAATGATCTGAGGTTCTGCGGCCTCCACGCCGAAATGTGAGGAGGTGTGCACAACTTCCCGCGCGGCCGCCTGCAAACCAATGACAGAGCTAGAAACCATAACAACTGACATATGAAATCGTATAGAAACATAATACCTGACCTAAGACACCGTGTAGAACCCTATAGAACCCTAAACGCTAAACCGTGGCTCTACCTATAGAACCCTTAAACACCCTATAAAGCTTAAACATTCCACTTTTGGATTGTGCTGGGATAGACTTGACCTTCGATAAGATATGTTGCCGAATGGAGCCCAGCGGACTGGAGGGGTCTAGGTTTATATAGGATCTGACAGATAATTGATCTGAAAACATCGGGGTTTCAGATTTAGGGTTACAGATCATGTGCTCCCGCGTTCGCCAAGAACCGTACTGCAGCCTTACGGCATTCATCAGCACAGGCGCTAGGGTTTTGCGGGATGATGAATGTTGAGTTTCAGGGCTGTACCGGGGGCGGTACGTCGGCATCCGGAAACAAAGACAAGTCAACTGGAGGCAAATTATATCTCAGGTCAGCGTGACTTGATCAATCCCGGACACCCCGCACCCTCAGGACCGGACGCCCCGTGCCCTCAAGACTCAACATCAATCCTTGATGAAACCCATATCTTTCAATGCGACAAGGACCCTGATTACACTCCAAGCCCTAGAAACTGAAAGCCCCAAGCCAGTGCTGATACTATCACCACCTGCGAGACCGCCCAACGACCGGGAGCGGGTTGAGATCCATCTCCGCCTTCGGCCTCCAATGCGCATGGTCGCAGCGGAATCACAATAGTCACCATCATCATCTCATTATACTAATAGAAGCTAAGAGCAAACCTAAGAGCATCAATCTAAAAATGTAAGAATATTGTAACGATAATAAGTATGCGAAAAACGTGTTCACAATAAGAACATCAATATTGCCCCGTATGTACAGGTTCCTTTCAGGCTACTGGGTTCATATGTAGAACCCTATAAGGTAATCCCAAAAAGGAACTACTATGGGGCCCATGGGTACCACACATTAATCTATTGACCCCGAGGCCTCGGGATTAGGACAACTGGCCGTACCAGGATCCCCAAGAGTCCAAAGGACCCAATAATCAGGTACTCGGTTCTAGGATAGTGGTTATGTAGGTTAGGACGTTGGAGAGTATATGATTATTAGGTACTTGGACCCTTGGGGTGTGGGAACCTCTTGCAACCGGCACGATGAGTAGAACTTTGTGGGGGGCACCTCGGTTATGCATGGATGACCAGGCGTGTTGGTTCTGAAACACGCAGAACCCTCAACTCTAAGCCTCAAGCTCCATAAACCCTGAACCCTTCTGAGCAATAAACCCTCAACCCTACACCCCAAACCGTAAACCCTAGAGCGCTTAAGCCCCATAGTTCCCCTAATATATATATATATATACACACACACATACAATATGTAGAGAGAGAGAGAGAGAGAGAGAGAGAGAGAGAGAGATCCCTTGAAAGGGGCCCTTAAAGGAACCCTAATCCCCTAAACCCTAGCCCTACACCCCGAAGCCTACAACCCTCACGTCGACGAGACGGGGAGCCTTGCCGCCCTTCTCGACGATAGGTCTTGGACCTGGTCATCCCAAAGGATCCTAAGTACCTATATGGGCAACGTTAAAGGGATCTATAAGGGTTCCTTTAAAAGGCATCTATAAGCGGGTTGAGGGACTGAAAAGTTTAGGGTTTAGACGGTATAGCGGTTTAGGTTTAGGGTTTAGGTTCTAGGTGGTACAGGGGATACTTACACAGACCATCCCTAATTTCTACCAGGCAGGTACTGAGGACCCGAAAGGAACCCTCAACCACCCTAATGCTACCCTTATAGACCCCTTTAAGGAACCCTTATAGATCCCTTTAAAGGAGCCCTAAACCCTCAACCCTCATCCTGCCTGGCAAGCCGATGTCCACAGGAGGTCGCGCGCCGAAGCTTGAGAGCTGCAGCGGACGCTTACGGTTTAGGGTTTAGCCATAGGCCCCACAGTGGTTCCTTTTTGGGGTTCATATGTAGAATCCTATAAGGTAACACCAAAAAGGAACTACTCTGGGGCCTATGGGTAGACTTTTGGGGTGCATGCTGGCTGTACTCGTGTGAGTGTGTTTTAGTGTGTAGGGTTTAGGCTCAAGGGCCGGATGATTTACAGCGGATTTGTGAGGCGTTTACTATACAGTATATATAGTTGTTCTGGGACTATGTAATATTATGGGCTGGGCTGTGGTGATTTGACAGTGTGTTTTCATGACCTTACAAAGATTCCAGAAGGTGTTTACAGGTGTGCATAGGGTTTAAGGACATATGAAGGATCAGACGATTCAGGAAGTGGGTTAGAAGAGGGGTTCACAGTGCCGGAGGCACCAGTCCGCACCGGCGACATTCAATCCGCGAAGCTTGGAAGACTTGGGCCTGCTGGAAGCTTCATGGGCATCCCTGAACCGAACTTGAAAACTTAATCACGACTTCTAAGTAAGGTTGCAAGTACCCGAATCGGGGTTATAAGTGATTGTAAGTATAGTTACCCTAATTATTAACCCTAAACCCTAAACCCTAAACCGTTAATTATAACCCTAGTTACTGACCCTTTGAGTACATGCAGCACAAGACTGTCGCCAGAACCGAGGCTTCAGTTGTTGAGGCCACGACCAACACTTTTTTTAGGGTTTAAGGGTTTAGGGGTTTAGGGGTTTAGGGTTTAGGGTTTAGGGTTTAGGGGTTTAGGGTTTGTTTATGGATGCATTCTTCAACCGCCCGATGACAGACCTATTTGGGGCTCCAGATCGTTTCAGAGTCATACTTGGAGGATTATGGGACTAAGCAAGTAAGGTTATAGGTACACTAATTGGGGCTATAAGTAATCATAAAGCATAGTTACCTTACAGTAGTTATAGCGCGAGTTACTTAGTCCCATGACCCTTTAAGTAACCCTAAACCCCCTTCTAGAACCCCTATAGATCCCTTTAAATATAGAACCCCTATAGATCCCTACTTAGCCCCATGACCCTTTAAGTAGTGAGCCTTTTGCCAGGGATCCAGCCGCGGCGCCGCCGACTTTGGGAGAGATGCATAGGGTCCTCGCGAGCATCGACACGATGTAATACAGGGGCTTTACTGTTTTGGGGTGTATTTTAGGGTTTAGGGTCCGATGTAATGCAGGGGCTTTAACGTTTGGGGGTGTATTTTAGGGTTTGGGCTTAAGGGTTTAGGGTCCTAAACCCAAAACCCTAAACTCTAAACCCCAGTATATGAGGAATAATATTCGTTACTATTCAGGCTTCTGTATAATACACTTGGGGTTCGCCTGTGGTTGCTTTTTGTACGTCACAAGTCAGCAACTGCTGCAATTGCCGTCTTGCTTCCTACGTGATCTGGTAACTCACGACTACTCCTGAACTTACAAAATCAGGGAGTTTCCGAAAATTGGGGACCCTAATATAGTACCCTAAATAGTAGGATCCTTATTTTTCGGACCCCCAAATAAGGTATATACCCCCTAATTTTCGGAAACTCCCATCAAGCAGCACCGTGAGGGACCTACGACCGGAACGGGTTTAGGGCTTTAGCCTACCTTCCACCGGTCGCAGGTGCTCCTTCCGATTCGCGGTGGCCTTTCAAACAAAAAAGCCCCCCTATAAACCTTGAAGGCTAAACTTTGAACTTCGAACCCCAAACACAAAATCAGTGAGCAACGTAAGAACTGTCCTGAGAAAAGTCAGTCCAGTTCAAAAGCCTGGAGGCCACCCTCATCTATCCAGCAAACAACGGCAAAGCCCACAACAACCAGCATCCCATTGCAATCCCTTTTGCGATAAAGGGCCCTGCAACGAAGTTTTCTTCGGCAAACCACTAGCCGGCAGCATCTCAACATCCGCCATCAAGCACCCGATCAAAGAAGCCTACAGAAGAGACATGGAATTCGTTGGCTACTTTAGGGGCCTAAATATATACCTGCACTATTTTTGGGGGGTCCTTGTTACGTTGTAATTATAGCATAATGTCGCCAAAACCGTAGTCTAATTATCAAGGCTCTTATATTATGTTTAGGATTTAGGGAACTTCTTTCGATCCTTCCAGAAGCCGTAGGAGGCGCTGATTCCGCTCATCGCTGTCTAGCGGGCGGAGGCCCTGGCAGTCGTTTTTCGATGTGTTGTTTTTTCGAGTTAACCCTAAACCCATAAACCCTTCTAAACCTTAAATTGCAAAGTTAACCTTAGCTTTCAACTTTAAGGTTTGTGAGGGTTTCGAGCATACACATTCACATAGATACTTTCTACCTTGCAAAGGCAAGCACAGGATGTGATCCAAAATCATTGGGCACAATAGTTATCAGCCTTTCAGAAACGTAGCTTCCCTAAGCAACCCTAAACGTCAAACCGTTTTAATAAGTAAGGTTGCATGTGAGGAGTGGGTTTGTGCAGGGTGTGCGGCCGAGAAGGCTTAGAATTTGTGAGCTTTTCTAGGATCGTACAGGGTTACGGGTTGCGAAACGGATGTGCATGGTACAAGGGTCCCTAAAAGGGGCTACGATAAAGCTGAATCGGATGTAATTACAGGCTTTGGAGTTTTGGAAGCATAATGGTCCTACGCCCTAAACCCCTATATAAACCCTAAACCCCTAAAGCCTAAACCCTAAAACCCTAAACCCGAAAAGGGAATCCCCAAAGGCGCCTCCTCTGCACCCCTTTCCGGCCAGAGCTCGCTCGGGGAGGCGGCAGCAGGCGCCTCGCTTCCCAAAGGGTCCTAGGTACCCAGAGACTCCAATATCCCTTAACTAAGGAATATACCTTAAATCATATTAGGGATCTTATCATAATTTAAGGTATATTCCTTAATTAAGGGATATTGGAGTCTCTGGGTACCTTATAAGGCTACTACGATAGGGGAGTTTCCGAAAGTAACTGCAAGGGTTCCTTCAGGGGTCCCAGAACCGCCCGGTTCTGCGAGTATGCTTGTGCATTTTTGGGTGGCTGTCAAAATTATGGTGCTTTTTTGGGTCCCTGTTATAGTACGGCACCTATTATTTAGGTTCAAAAAGGACCTCAATTTTGATAACTACCCGCTTGGAGGATCATGGGACTTAGTAAGGTTATAGGTACCTTAGTTGGGGTTGTAAGTAATTATCAGTAATACCCCTAGTTACTAAGTACCATGACCGTTTAAGTATGAGGGCTCCATGCAAGGAATCCTTGAGGGAGCGAAAAGGTCGAAAGGTGGGTTGTGGACAGAGAAGTCACTTTCCTTCAACCAATCCTGCTCTTGAGGCGGCAAGCTTTTAACCCTAAGCCCCAAACCCTAAGGTTTAAGTTAAACCGAACAACATCACCCCAGACTCTGAATCCAACAACCCTAAATTTGAAAAACCAGAGGACCGGCTGAACAACAGCAGCAGAGCCCCAAACGCCTGGAATCTTCGACTCTCCTACATCGAGTGAAGCGTAACACCCTAAACCCAAAATCCTCAACCACTATGCAGGTGACCCTGAATACTTAGAATCGAATATGGCCTGGGAATAAGTATAATATAGTAATTACTCAGACCCTATAGTGCACCCTAAACCCTAAACACTGTAAATACCCTGGCCCTAGATCCTGAACCCTATCAACACTGACCTCTGAAACTCTGGACCCTAAAACTTCAATCCCTAACCCCAAAAACCTGTAAATAACCCCTAAGTCCCGAAGTCCTGCGACCTATATAACCCCAAAACAAACCCTAAGCCGTTCAGCCCAAACACTTAAAACCCTAAGGCCTAAACCCCCAAGCCCCAAACCCAGGGGAAGTGATAAGAAGTTGACCTCGTAGCTGGCCGGTGCAGGGCTGTCCAACGTGTCCGCCCAGGAAGATGTACCGTACTCCTTTCGAGGCTGGGGGCTCTTGGCGTTCCTTACTTAAAGGGTCATGGGACTTAGTAACTAGGATTATAATTAAGGTAACTATACTTATAATTTCCTGAAACCCCAGTTAAGATGCTTCTAACCCTACTTACTACGTCCCATGATCCTCCAAGTAAGGGAATTTCAGATTGACCACACTTCCTTCGAGTTTAAGAGTTCGGGCTTCCACCCGCCCCAAACTACAAGCGCCAAATCTCCAAATCCCAGGCCCCGAACCCGAAGTTTTGAGGTGATACTCCAAAGGGCAATGCATCCACGACCACCCTTACTACAGTCTGCAAAGGAAGACATGAAACCTGAAAGCTTGAAGCCGGAATGCATAATGCTGCATAATCTAGAAGACGGAACAGTCGATAATCTTATTCCTCAAGCATGAGAAAATTATTGTTTAGCCTGCGCCCTTTTATCATAAACCCCTTATAATCACTGTGGCAACCCTTACCGAAACCCCTTGAAGAGCATTTGCAGGAGTCCTCAAAGGAACCTAGCCCTAAGACCCTGCATTAAATCAAAGAAACCCTAAGATCCCGAAACCCGAACTCAACCAGAAACAAAAATCCCTTGAAGGAACCCTTGACAGTACGGTTGATGATATAAATCCTGCATTACTTTAAGGACCCTGAACTATGGGAAATAATTATGGTATATTCCTTATTTATGATGGGTAATGCAAGATTTATATCCCTAAACCCTAAAACCCTATAGATCCCTTAAAGGAACCCCCTTAAAGGGTATCCTCATAGATCCCTTTAAAGGAACCCCAGGATTTATATCATCAGCCGTAGCTGGCAGTCCGGCAGCTCGTCGCTGGCGTGGACGACGATCAACCTTAGCGTTGGTTAGTAGGGAATGGAGGAATGAGGTATAAATATAACTACTATTACTACCATTCTTCTATTCCCTACTAACCAACGGTAAGCAACTCATCTGCTCGAGTTGACGTTGGAGGCTTTGCGGTCGTCTCCTGGCTCTTGGACTTAGGATTTGGGGCTTCGGGTTTAGGGTTTGAGGTTTCTCGTTTAGGGTTTGGGGTGTAGGGATTCGGGTTTCGGGGTTTGGGATTTCGCGTTTAGGGTTTGAGGCTTCGGGTTTATAGGGTTTGGGGAAAAGGTCCTGGGGCTGACGTTTAGGGTGTCATATGGCTTTGTACTGGCTTCTAGCAGGAATGCAGAAGGTTTGGGGTTTAGGGTGGCGCTTGGGTCTACAAGGTGCAGTATGGTCTTCAAAGCATGAGCATTTACAAAGGATGTAGAGGAGTTTGTAGAGTTTGCGAAATTCGGGAAATCGGCTCATTTCGGCTTTCCTGTCGACTTTAAGCATTCTTGAAGGTTTCAGGCGATTCAGGATTCAATCATTTAGTGGGTTCAGGAAGCTCACTTCAAGGAGTTTCGCGCTAACTACTGAAATCAACTGCTTCCAGTCCGGAAGGTGGAAGGTTGAAGGGATCAGGGTCTAAAACTTTCATACCTAGCAAGTAGGGTGTCTATAGTCGAAGCCTTAACCTTCAACCTTAACTCGAAAGCCCACATAACCCTTCAGGCTGGGACAATCCCACTTGTAGCTTTGGAAACTGCTAGCCAAGGCATTGACCCGAAACGACGATTCGTGGTCTATGCTTTTATGGTTTAGGGCTAAGGGTCTTTGTACGTCTCGAGCTTTCTAGAGCCAGGAGGATCTCAATGCGTGTTGAAAGTACACGGCAGGCACTCTGTGATTGTGAGCGATTCTGTTTGGACTGTTCTGGAGTACCCTACACCAAAAACCTGCCCTGTCGAGTATGCTAGGGGTGTACTAAAATACCCTAAATTTCGCGTCGGTTGGCTGCTAAGCATCCGTTGAAACGGAATGGGGGATTCCTGAATCCTCCAGGGTAGTTCCTTCTCCTGCTTCCGCATATTTTGAACTGCCACGAGTGTTACTAGACCTAACATAGACTAACCCATGGAAGCTAATCTAGATTGCAGTGAACTGCCATTACTCTAGGCCTGGTAACCCAAAACCAGAAAGCAAACTCACGGCACAGATCCTGCTCATGTACGATCACCGCAAGCGGAGGGACTTCTACCTGGTCGAATCCCGATGCTGGTTTCGGTCGATGGCTGGCGAAGACTACAGTGACTACATGCAGACAGGATGTTTGATGTTTCTCGAACAAGACACGCCCTCACAAGAATTCATGTCTTTTGTGAACATGCCAAAAAAAGCATGTGCAGCATTCTTGCGTCTTTGAACAACATACTTCAGCAGGATGTCGGAGGCGTCTGGAGCAAGACGTGCTGTCACGAGCAGTCGGGACGGTCGCGAACATATCAAATCTTGGAGGACGTATGTATGTATATGTATATATATATATACACATACATATACACCGTGGTCATAACTGGAATCCGACAAGGGTCGTTCTTTGAGAGGGGGGCAGGTAGATGCCAATCGTTTCAAAAGCTGAGGACCTGCTCACTTTAGCGACTAGCTCCCCACAGCCTTAGCACTACCCAAACGGTCCCAGGTACTGCTATGGGACTTCCCCAAACAATAATAGTATTTCCCAACCTAGAAACCCTGCATTTTACCATATAGATACTTAGGACCTTTTGGGCTAAACTCGCGAAACAACATACCCAAAACCAGAATCCTAAGGCTAATGCACCCAAACAGTATATACCCAAAATACCTGCATAAGCACACTTTAAGGGCAAAGCATATACTGTTTGGGTACATGGGCCCTGAGGTTAAGCACCGAAAACGAAGTGAATTCACTCAGAACGCCAGACGCTGATGAGCCTGGCACCACGAAACCCTCAACCCAAACACAAACCACGGACAGCCAAAGGGTCCTTGGTACTGCTATGGGGGATACTTCCCAAAATCATACAAGCAATTTCTATTATAGAAACCCTACATTCTACCATACAGTTACTTAGGACCCTTTGGTATCAGTTTAGAGTTTATGGTTTCAGGTCCTCAAAATGCGATCCTCTGCTGGGGCTGCTCAGCAAGAGGATCTACAGAGTAGATCCCTACAAGGGTTCCTACAAAGTACCCTTTTTCTCAGTATAGGGCCCTCAATTAGTGGTGCTAAACGGCCCGCGAGGTACTTAGAACCACTCCTATTGTGTCCCGTGATCCCTTAAAAGCTTCCTGGATCCTCCCAGGGGTCTGAGCAGAGGGCACAGGCCCTAAACACAACAATGGTCTCGGTGGTTGCGGGGGCCTGTGATCCTAAAACCCTTCGGCCTGCCGGGTTAAAAGCATTCAGAATGATGGGCCTTGTGTGGGTGTTGCCTCAACCCGGAATAACCTACCCTGTTAAGGACTTATATAAGGAAATCAGATGAAGGAATCCTAAAACGGTAGGTTCTTCAGGGTTAAGGTGATCCACAGTTTGCCTTCTCTTCCGGGTTTAGGAAAAAAGGCAAGCCCTAGAAGAAAAGACTCATCTGCGACTCTTGGGACTGAGGCCCAGGAAAGGATGTAGGTAATAAGTAGACTTATAAGTACCTTAAAAAGGACCCTAATTGGAGTTGTGACACTTATCATTTACAAGTACCTTAAGAAGGACCCTAGTTGGGGTTATGACACTTATCATGTCGAAGTACCTTAAGAAGGACCCTAACTTGGGTTTATGACACTTACAACTCTACTACAATAGAACTACTTACTAAGTCCTTAAGAAGGACCCTAATTGGGGTTATGACACCTGTAACTCTACAAAAAATAGAACTACTTGCTAAGTCCGACGACCCTCCAAGCAAGCCTGGATGGTGTCGATGGTCGCCTCTGTCTCCTCTGGCTGCCCGTCAACGGGTGCGCCTGAAGTGGTCGTAGCAAACGGGGTGCGCGGTTTACTGCACGGCTTGCGAGCTACTTGGAGGATCATGGGACTTAGTAAGTGGGGTTATAAGAGTACCTTAATTGGGGATATAAGTAGTTATAAGTTTTATTACCTTGGCTATAACCCTAGTTCCTAGGTCCCATGATCCTTTAAGTAGGGAAGTGCAGGGTGGGGTTTGAAGCCGGGTGGGGTTCGAGTTTAGACTTTAGGATTTTGGAGGTTCGGTTCAAAATCTCTCTGAGGCTGAGGATCTGTGCTCTAGGATTACCCAGATTCCCACGTCCTAAAGCATTAATACCGTAAAACGAATGAACTCCAACAAAACGAGCACCAAACAACGAACCTGAACCTAGATGGCTTGGCCTGAACCTGCAAACCCAACAGTCTTGGCTTCCTTGTTAATGGTCACGGCTTCTGGCCGATAGACCTACATCCTCTTTAAAGCGAGGGTAGATGCTTAAATTGCTAGAAGGCTCGCCCTTGCCAGTCCTCACATTTAGGATGAGATATGTAGGGTCTTGTTCAAGGGCTCCGTCTGTCTGGCTAAACCCCAAACCCTAAAAACCCTCAACCCCAAACAAGCCGGCCAGCTTTTCACAAACATCTGAGCCTCGCACCGCAGCTTGCACAGAACTTGGCACCGGGTGTCAACCTCAGTTGAACGACCCTGTTGAAATTACAGTCGATGACAAGTAAGAGGCATTTGGGCTTCTTGATCACGTCCAATACATCAGAGTTCATCAGGGCTAGCATGCGTTGTCAGAGAGCTTGTGGCTCCTACAGGGTTGATCGGCGGCTCAATGTCTCATGTGGTTCCAAATAGGCCTGTGTAGAGTGCCTACTGGTATTGCCTTGCTCGTACCTCTGATATTTAGAGTACCTGTTTCGATCAAGCTCAAACCAGAGGCTGATGTATCTACCTAGCAGTAAGTAGACATCTTGTCCCGAAGCCCTAAACCCTTAAGCCTGCACCCTTATGGAACCCTTACGTGAAAACTTAAAGGATCCTTGTATGGACACATGGATTCTCAGCGTAGGGCCACTGCATAAATGGGAGTTTCCGACAATAGGGGACTCTTATATAGTACCCTATATAAATGGTAGGAACCCTATCATAAGGACCCCAAAATAAGGTACACCTAAAACTCAGAATTTTTTCCGTGCGGCTGAGCGGAGCAGCGGCGGCAAAGGTGCTCGGTTCTCTCCTCCTGGTCTGGGCTCCACCACTGACCATCCTGGCTTCGAGTCGAGGGTCTTCGGGTTCAGCGTCTCAAGGGGTCTAAGTACCAAGAGGGTCCATGTAGACGACCATTGTGGAAGTATATACCATAGTACCCTTGATGATATGAATCCTGCATTACCGACAATAAGGAATATACCATAATTCCCATAGTTAAGGTCATGCAGGACTTATATCATCAACAGTAGGAACTGTCTTTTGGGACCCAATTCCGTAATGGTAGTATATATGGACCCTCTGAGAAATTTTAGGGTCCTTTGGTTCTGTAGAGTCTACACATCTCACCCTGAAACAAACCTTAAGTCTCCAAGTACCTGATCATTGTCATGTACTCTTAGGGTTGCGGGTTTAAGGGTTTAGGGTTAAGCTACAAATCGACTACAGTAACTATCCTAAGCCCAAGCACCTGACTGTTGGATCTTTGGGAGCCTTCAAAGGCTGTAAACACCCCTTGTAGAACCCACCAAAGCCCGAAAAAAACCCTTTCAAGGAACCCGTACCTAACCCCCTCAAAAGTAGGTAAAATAATGGCCCAATACCTATAAAAGGCCATTATTGTGCATACTTTGGGGGCCCAGGTAATAATTGAGTGTAAGGCCTCCTCCTCTTCCAGCCGCTTCTGCCCGCGTTCGTCATCGCGGCGGCTACGCCGGCGCTGCTTCCGCAGCTGCTCCTCCTCACGCTTTCGGGGATGTGACTTTTGGGGCTTGAGGGTTCAAGCAGCATTCCTAGAGGGTGCAAGTACCCAAATAGTAGGACCTAATATCCCACTATTTTGCTACTTGGACCCTCTGGGATTAGGGCTTTAGACAGGTTTTAGGCTTTAGGGTCTGAGGGCTTCGATGCTTGGACGGTCGGCGGTTGGGAACTTGCCTTGGCTGCCTTCGAGCCTCTCCGCGCTGGACGAGAACCCAAGTTCGCTTGTAAATATCGTCAGTGTAGGGCAGAGGATGTCAGGTGCCATAAATGCATAGCACCTGTATGTGGGCTTGGCTGCGAACGACTTGCAATAGACACCTCTAGCAAGCCCAGGAGGGCCCACTGCCACCGCCACACGCCTTACGTAAACATCCAACATCAGCGCCACTCACGTGGGGGCTGCAACAGAGTCCTCGAGCAGGTTCTTGTTGCACGTTGTCTTCGCTGCTCCTTGCATGGTTCCCCTCTGCAGGTGGTTCCTTTCACAACTGCCCGGCTTCCGCTCGAAAAACGCAACTGCCAAGCCCTAATACACTGTGGCCTTAAGCTAGCCCAAAGTATATACCTTCAACCGAAAAAAAACTAAGCCTTAAACCCTAAACCCACGCCCTCAACCGGATACTTTATGGGTACATGGAGCCTCAGGGCATTAGGGTAGCTGCTTCCCCAAAAACATGGTGCAGGGTCAACTTGAGGGTCTCAACCCGAAGGCGCTAAACCCTAAACAACCCTGAACCCCTAAACCCTAAACCCGAAGGCCTTGAAGCCTGACAACCGAGGACCGTCAACCCTGGAACCCTCAACGCCCGAAGCCCTAATATAGACGCCTCAATAATTAGAATAGTAGGGTTTTGGGGTATACTATGCTGTACTTATACTAAGGACTGAGGAACCCCCGAAATAGTATAGGTAATTATTACGGCCCCCATACTACAAGACCCCAAACCCATAAACCCGAAACCATGAAACTCTGCAACCCGCTAAACTCCCAAACCTCAAACTCTGTCTGAACTGCCACGTAAACCTCCCCAAACCCCAAACCGCAAAACCTACAGTAATCCCCAACAGTTGAGCACTAGAACCCCCTGGCCCCTAAACCCCTAAAGCCCGAAACCACTAAACCCTGCAGTAGAACCAGTTTAGAGTCTAGAACCCCTAAAGGAGCCTTGAGGGAAACCCTGAACCCCCTTCATGTTACCCAACACGCCAAACTAAACCCTAAGCCCCCAGATCCTATAGTACCCTTGTTCTGGTAACCCCTGTACACACACAAACGCTTCAAGGGGCCCTTAAAACAACTTCGAAGAGCTTCAAAACCCTGCACGACTGCTCCTCGAGCCACCTCTCCAGTTCAGCTACCGACAGCTGGCGGACCTTCGGAAGCTCAGGGCTTGGAGCTTAGAGTCCACAGTTTACGGTTTGGCGTTTGAAGTTCTGGATTTGAGGTTTAGGAATTGGGGTTTGGGGAATTTAGGGTTTAGGGTTTGGGGTTTGGGGTAAGTTTTGGGTTTGGGGTTTAGGGGGGTTTATTACCAGCACCGCCAAAGTACCCTTTGAAACAGGCATTACGGTCCTAATTATGGGTACTTCGGCTCCAACAAGGGGGTAGTCGGGGGGGCTCTGCTGGTGGGGTCTAGGCCTTACCTTCAACTACCAGAACCTACGTCCTAAAACTCCATGCGCTCATATGGTATATACTTAAGCCTTGAAGTACCTAAATAGGGACCCCTTTGAGGCCAATGATAGGATTGCTTGTCCTGCCACCGTGGACCACAGAGCTATCCGAAAGCCACAACTGCAAGCCGTAAACTCTGAAGCCATGGCGCCCTATAAGCCCTAAGCCTAAGACAGTACAGATTCAGATCCCAAGCCATACCGGAATGCTTAGCCCTCAACCCTCCATCCGACTTCCTGAAGCCAACACAACACCTGATATGCGCCGCCATGCAAGAACTCCTTGCCTCCCGAATTGTCAGGCCACTTTCCACAGAGGCTCGGCGCAGTCCTTGCGGTTGACGTCGATTTCCGGTTTCGGGCTTACCTGGGGTCTGGATTGGTTTCATGTTTGCGGTTCTGGATCGGACCCAAACAGTTAGTACTATGATTCCGTAGTGTCCCCAACCAAAGTTCTAGTACCGGTGTTTAAGCCCCTCTGGTATGTAAAAGTGTCTTATTAAGGGCCCCAATCCAAGAGCTTAGACCATGATTGTAAACTGCACATAAGCTTGAGGTTTTAGGGTGCTTTAGCGTTTGGGGGTTTAGGGTTTATGGGTTTAGGTTTAGGGTGCTTCACGGTTTAGGGGTTTGGTGTGCTTTGGGGTGTAATATAGTGAAGTGTAGATATTCCTTGCTTGAACTGGGCCGCTGTTCAACCTCTTGGGCTGCTGGACGTACATATACCTTTTCATATACAGATACGCATACATAATATTACACGTACATCGACAAACAAACGCTCACACATGCATATACATGTGCATATACATCTACGTATACAGATGCATGACCATGTGCATGCACACTTGCATACATACATGCGAAAAATACTTACAAACTACATGCATGCAAGCATGTCTATATGAATGTATCTATATAATACGTATGAACGTTAATATATATATATATATATATATATATATATACACATAACTATATCTATGTATGATTTCTTGTACATCGTGTATATACGGGGCTATAATCGGTAAGACTTGTGTTGTGTTCATAAGCATGAGTTTCACACCAATTCGAGCAAATCCGTCTGTCGAATCACCATTGTTTAGCTTTTACTTCCGTGCGAGCAAGGTGCGCTGAAGCTTCTCCAGCTCCTGATGAGAGCAGGTCGCAGTGGCGAGTTTGAGATTTTAAAGGATCTGTGCCTTGTTTGGCGAACGGGCTTTAGGCCACCAAACGTTTTATACTATGGCACAGGGTTGCGGGCTTAGCGGACCCCTCATGGCTCGATAGCTTGGGTCTCTCTAGGGTTTCAAAATGCACCCATGGAGACGAACGACGAATGGTACAACCCATCGTCCTGAAGCTACCGCAACTAAGTTGTTGTCCTCAGTTGCCCAAATACGTACCGCAAAAGGCTCTGCCATATGGCTTTCAATACGGCGAACATGTTTTGGATCACCAAAACAGGCAAGCAAGATCTTGTTTTTTTTGTGAAGGCGGCCTGTACGCGGGTATCCGCTTCAGTCAGCAGCGAGCTGGGATTGCATAACTGCAGCTGTCTTGAATAGTGGTTTAGGCTCAGCTGAAAAAGAGTGGATCTGGCCGGATTCGTCCATTTGCAATTGTCTTTTGCTAGTTTTTCCAGAAGAGAGCGGGGTGGGGGAGAATACGTTGCTGATGCCGAGAACAACACTACCTTGATTTGTCAAAAATTAATTTTTGGTAAGGACCCAGCCCTAAAATCAATATTCGGTGACACAACCCCCAAAAGATATGGGTTGCTTATTTTGTTTAATCCAGACAGATCTGTCGCAACTGAAAGCTAGCTAGGCAGGAAGGTCAACAGTCTGGCGCAACCGAGCCGCAAAGCAGAACCGAGCCAAAAGCCGGACTCCTGGGAGAATCTCGCCGATCATCTAGACACCAGATCCCCCAATAAGGAATGGGGCCCTGAATTAGGGGTTCTACTTTCTAATTTCTAGACCTTATAAGCCCTAAACCCTTGTAAGCCCGTATTAATCCTGGACCCTCGTTTGGGATGGTATAAAGTAGGGTTGATGATATAAATCCTGCATTACCCATATTAAGGAATATGCCCCAATTCCCATAGTTTAGTGTCCTTAAGGTAATGCTGGATTTCTATGATCAACCGAGGGGTTGTACTTTCCAGATCTTCCCTCAAGCCAGAAACCATGGCCGGATTGAAGCCCGACCTCGCGGGCCTGCGTCAGTCTCTCTAAAGGGGAGAAGGAGGGACCCTAAATGGGGACCCCTACCCTATAATGGGCTATATAATGGATATATAGTAGCTATATTAAGGGTATATACCTAGGGGTCCTTGTTAAGGGTCCCTCCTTTTACCCTTGGATCAAAAGAAGGCACACATACCCTGACCCGATCAACATCCAGCAAGAACTTGACCAATTACATGTCCAAACCCTCAACCCCGCAACATAAAACCCCCCATCAGTCCTCTTGTCCAGTGCCTTGCGGTCCTTCGGAGATAGCACTTGCGGCTTCCGCACTGTAAAATGCTCTACGTCTCAACATCCTCAACCCTAAACCCACCGACACCTAGCCCAGTGCCTAGATCGAGGCTTTTAATTATGCTAATATGTCAATCCTAAACAGCAAACTGCCAAGCCTTGACTCCTAAACCTGTGAACCCTAAACCCCTAAACCCATAAACCTCAGACGTTTCCACCACCAAACCCTGCGGCCCCAAAGGCTGCAACCAAGAGGCTTAATGGCAACCATAGGGGCCTTAATAGTCAGAATAGGTTTTGGGGTCTATTCTACTATAAAGAATCCCCAAAACCACATTCTAATTATTCAGGCCCCTGTAATTTTCAAGCCATGCGAGTTTCCCGAAAGCTTCCCCAACAGTTCAACAATCCTCGACGCAAACGAACGCGAAGGAAACGTCATAAACCCCTGCGGCAACCCCAAACCAGGTCACACAAATAATCAAGCCCCTAACCTGCAGCAGCGCAACCCTGCCGGGTTTGGTTCAAAACCCTGAACCCAAAGCCCCTGAATCGTTGCACCCGAAGCTCCAAGCCCGTGAACCCTGAACCAAAACCCTCCAAGAAAAAGAACCGTAATCCGAATCCATTGAAGGCTACTCTACTTCCCTTACTAGGTAAACAGCAAGACATCTGTTCAAGATCCCAATAAGAGCAACCGCAAAAGGCACACACCAAACAAGTTCAAGTGCCAGAAGAGCCCGTAAAGAGCCTGTGAACCCCATGGCAAACGTTTTCATACCAAATCTTCAAGCATTCTATGAGGACAAGGAGACCCAACAACACTCTAAAGTGTCAAACCTGACAGCCTGCGGACCGCTACTTGGAGGATCATGGGACTTAGTAAGTAATACGGGTATAAGTACCTTAATCGGAGTTATAAGTAGTTATAGGTATAGTTACCTTAATTATAACCCTAGTTACTAGGTCCCATGACCCTTTCCCTAAGGCTCCATGTACCATTATAAGTACTTACATGGGGACCCCTTTAAGGCTTCAGTATCCATTATAACTGTACATGGCACCTTTGGGTCTCAGTAAACCCATATCCCAACTCCTAGGTTGACACCACGGGCCTCTAGCATGTAGGCCCTTCACCCTGCCGGGGTAAGGACCAGAGGGTCCAAGTACCCAAATTGTAGGGATTTAGATCCCAAAATCCATACTCTGAGTGGTTTTTGGACCTTGAAACTTTACTATTTGGGTACTTGGACCCTTAGGCCTATAATACCTACTATATGGGTGGTTGTCAAACCTAGGCTCCCTTTTTTGGGTACCCTAAATATTAGGTGCCGTAATTATGCTGGGGATCCAGAAAGGGACCCTAATTTTGACAACCACCCATATACGTTAGAAGGGGCCCCCCCACCCTGTAATAGTGGTATAATAGGAATACAATAGGGCCCTAATATAATCCTTATAGTCACTTTTACAGGGTGGGGGCAGCTTCTAACTATACAGTATATGGGAGTTTCCGAAAATACGGGTACCTTAGGTTGGGGTCCATATAATAAGGACCCTACTATTTAGGTTACCACATTAGGGTCCCCTGTTTTCGGAATCTCCCATATGCGCACGTAAGGGTCCCTAGAATCCCTGCCCGCAATTAATAAGCCTAAGGGTACAGATTAGGGGCCCGTACTTGGAATCTTAGACTAGCCAACACCCTAAACCCTATAAACGCTGAAGCCTGAACCCTAAACTCTGAAACCTAAACGAAAACCCTGAAACCTAAACCCTAAACCCTAAACCCTAGATGCCTAAGGAGCGGAGGCCTGGGTCTGTCTGCTTCGCTGGCTTCGGTTCCTCTCTAGGTGCCTCTGCAACGGAGGGGGTGACGAAGTCAATAGAAGTGCCTTAACAACTAGAATAGGGTTCCTTTAAGGGGTTTATACAATACCATTAAAGGGTGTATACAACACCATAATTACAATAAGGAACCCCCAAATCGTGTAGGTAGTCATTAATTAAGGGCCCTAGATCAGAGTCTGCAGGCATATCGATGTGCTTCTGGGAGGCTTCGGGCTTTCGGGTTTTGCGCGTTGGGATTTAGGTGTGAAGGGTTTAGGGGAGGAGGGAAGAAGAAGGAGGAAGTGAGAGTTTGAAGTGAGAGTTGAAGATAAATCTGACTCTACATAGCCCCCCCCCCAACTACTCTCTTCTACCCGAAATCCTTGGGGCTATGAGGAACTATGAGGGCTCGCAGTTTCGCCAGTCTTTTTGCCTGAGCTTGGGGGGCTGGATTTTGGGTTCGCGGATCTCCAAGAACTCAGCAAAACTGTTTTTGGGTTGTGGGTTTAGGGCTTAACCCCAAGGGTCCAAAAGACCCAATAAATAAGTACTCGGTTTTAGGATAGTAGTTATGTACGTTAGGATTTCGGAGAGTATGTGATTATTAGGTACTTGGACCCTTGGGGTCAGCAAAACTGTTTTGGGTTGTGGGTTTAGGGCTTAAGGTCTTAATTACCTTTAATGCCTGGTCATTCGGTATACGGTTTTCCGGTTTGGAGAGTCCTAGTGCAGGTGCGGCTTTCAAGCGTAGGGTGATATGCAATGGACCGGATAAGAATGTCGCAAACGCTGTGCACAGGGCAACCGGATGTGCGACAGCCCAGCACTTCTATTGCATAATGCTTTCGTCTCCACGGACGTTTCCCGCACTATGACAACAAGCACATGAACCCAATGAGAGGTGCGCGGAATTCAGAAGCAAAGAGCACATGTAATTGTAAGGCTATATAAGAAACAAGAGCACCATCAAGCCGTCAAACCCCTAAACCCCAGACCATACTCCAACACATGAGAAACGAGAAAAAAATACAGTCGATGGCCTCCTCCTTGCTCGGTTCGGGGACTTCCGTGGGTTTCTGGACTGCCACGCGAAGCTTCAGGAAGGCCTGGCAGGACTCAAAAACCTGTAAAGGGTTCCTGTCAAGGGGACTCCTGCTTAGTGGGTCATGGGACTTAGTAACTAGGCTTATAACTAAGGTAACCATACTTATAAATACTTACATCCCAAATTAAGGTACTTATAACCCTACTTAATAAGTCCCATGATCCTCCAAGTATAAGAGGATCCTATAACGTTCATTTCAGGATCTCGACGCTCCCGGTTTAACAGACGGCAAGAGCCCAAAAGCTCATCTATGCCTGTGTGGGCCCCCCAAGTTACCCTTAACGAAGCCTTGATGCGTCTTGACAGTTGTACATTGGAAGGGAAAAATCCGTAGTCGGACAGTCAGGTCATCTTCAGAATGAGCCCAGCAGAATCCGGCCTGCACATTCTTCTCGCCACCCCACTTCGTGCTGCTGGCCTGCGAGGGCTTGATCTTGTATCGGGCTCCATGGCCAGACTCATTATGACTCATTGTCTTACCGAATTCGAATCGTAATTGCTGTACTCCTGCTATCGGACACCCTGTCAGAATCCGCTCCATTGCAAAAGAAGGGCTTAGGGTCTAGGGGTTTCGAACGCTACCTCCTTCCAAGTCCTTTAAATGACACGTTCGCTGGACTCGAACTATGATTCTATAAATGGTGACAAGACGGTCCATTTATACTACCATTATGGAATTCGGTCCCCAAAACCATCGTGGGAATGGTCTTTTGGGACACAAGTCCATAATGGTAGTATATATGGACCTACTAGGGTTGGTATTTGATATAGGGTTCAGCATCTGTCCGTTGGCATGCCGACGCCAAGAGTCTGTCGAAAGCACATGCCCAAAGGGTCCCAGGTACTGCTATGGTGGATGCTTGCCCAAATAGAAATCCTACATTCTACCATATCGGTATTTAGGACGCTTTGGGAGTAATGACCTCCTCCAGAAAGGTGCGGGAAATAGAAGTTCCCAAAGCAATGAAACCTCTAAGCCCCAAAACAAATGACCTGAGCATAGCCCCAGAATAATCGGATCCTTACTTACTTCTCAGAAACCCCGTCCAAAACTAGTCTGAGCCGTAAGGAGACACTGCACGCCCCGCACAACCAGTCTAAACCTCCAAAACACACTGACACAACCCTATACAAAGATGTCTGTCCAAAACCCGGCAGAAAAGCCTACAATACCCTTGCAACAAATCCGCGAAAATGACCCTAAGTCTGACACCACCAGATCCCCAAACCCTTACCCCCCCAATCCGAAACCCCAAAACCACGCACCCTAAACCCCCCAAAGGTTCCCAGGTACTGTTATGGGGGATACTTCCCCAACTCATTATAATGGTAATTCCTCATATAGAAAGAAACCCTATAGATATACTTAGGACCCTTGGGGACCCTAAATCCCCAACCCATAATCCCTACTTGGAGGATCATGGGACCTAGTAAGTGGGGTTACAAGTACCTTAATTAAGTATAAGTATACTTACCTTGATTATACGTACAGGATCATGGGACTTGGCAAACGGGGCCTCAAGCAGCTGCAGCTCACCATCGAATCCCTCCGACAGCACCTCGAAGGCGTTGGGGTTTAGGGTTTGGTTTGGGTTTAGGGTTTAGGGTTTGGTAGTTGTGAGTGTTCAATTCGTCTTGTTTCTGTTGACACAAGCAGGGTTTAGGGCCGGTTAGGGTCTAAGGGTGCATTTAACCCTAAACCCCTAAACCCCAAACCCTGAAGTTTAGGGTATAGGGTTTATTTCTCTCAAAAAAATGGGCTGTGGGCTTATAGTTTAAGAGTGTTCAACTCTTTTTGGTTTCTGATGAAACATAGGGTTTAAGGTTTAGACCGTAAGAGCTCTTTTGCGGCTTTCGCTTGTTTTACTTCGGGCAAGAGGTTAACAGTATCGGATTCTATACAAATGGCTTTGGCCTTGTCGGTTTTGGGCTTTATCTACTTAAGTGGTTTGCATTGGCTTTGCAAGTAGGGTTCTATGCGCTTTTAGCGATTCGGGTTCTGCTTCAGGGCTATGTTTGGGCTTTTATAAAGAGCTTTATTGGGCGGAATTGTCGGGTTCGCTAGGGTTTCGGTATCTTCCAAGCCTACAGCCAGGAGCATTGTGCAAGTGCAGCAAGTTATTCCGTTTTGAGTTTTGTCCATGTTCCAACGCATAACCATAAAAAACCCAACATCTTCGACCTTGCCTTGCCTCCAAACGCATACCGTGTCTTAAGAACTTACGGAAGGAATCTCTAAGAAGGAAGGCAGAGGTTGCCTACCTTTGACTTCCTCTTCTTCCTTCACTTCTGCCGGTCGTGTCAGACAAGTTAAGCAGTTGATTCCACCGCCGCCTTCTCCGTATCTGAGCATTTCCGAAAAAAGCGATTGTATGAGATGGAGTCCAGGTCCAGGTTGTGGAAGTGACACTGCACCCGAACGAATTTGTCGACGGCATCGACAAAGTCGAAGTCAGCTTCCCTAGTGAAGCTAACTCTGTGCACCTCGCTCTGAAGTTTGCCCCATGCCCCTATAATCTTCCTACTCGATACTCGCGACGACCCCACTGGGACTCACCCGAAAAAGCTTCTTCAAGAGCGACAGTTTACCCACTCAAAACCGTATGAAGAACCCTAACAAGGCATCCCACGAAGGTGCAGTACAGTAGACCCCATAAAGTTGGAGACCAGGTTAAGGCCAAATAGTGCTGGGATTCCCTATACATTACTTTTAAGGATTGAGGCTATGGGGTTTCCAACTTTTGGGCTTCTACTGTAGATCATGTTGGGTTCAGGTAAGGTGTTTAGGTGGTTCCTGAGAAGTACCCTTGAGTAGTAAGTTAGCGGTTCTACTTTCTAGATCCTATGGAGGGCGTGGGAACCCACTGCGCAGGCATACATGCAACTGGTGGACAAACCCTATATCAAGCTGTTGCTTTCTTTATGACCCTTCCCAAAAGGGCTCATGTATCCCTGAAGTACCTTTTTAGGGACTACGTTGAGGACAGAGTATACGCCACATGGGCACGCGGACCCTTAGCAGAACTCTTAAAGGGGAACCTAGTATAGAAGCCTATGGTACCCTTTAAAGGGGACCCTATTATAGAACCCTTGTACCCTTTCTGGGCCCCCTTTAAAGGAAGCCTCGTGGCAGGGCTCCCGATACCGAATAGCCCGCCAGGCAGTCGGGTATCCTGCTGCCAGCCGTCGCGACATTCAAGGTGCCGCAGCACATGGAAGCTGAGCCCTTGACCCTGAACCCTCAGCTTCTGATTGATTAGCGGACCCTAAGCATACAGTACACTGGCAAGATAGGTAACACAAACATTGAACAGGTATTTACCTGAGGCCCCATAGTAGTTCCTTTTTGTGGTTCATATTTAGAATTCTGTAAGGTAATCCCAAAACGGAACTACTATGGGGCCTATGGGTAACTATGAAATTGTAGGTTCTGGAGTCACCTCATATCCCGACACTCCGGCACCACTGACGGCACCTTGGCCACCTCCAAGGTGACGTGCCCAAGGCGATCCGACTTCCTAACCAGCTCTTCAGACTCGTGCAACTCCGATATGCATAAAGTGTGCGCGTGTATGTATGTATGTATGTATGTATGTATGTATGTTTGTATGTATGCATGTATGTGTATGAGTACATATACATATATGTATGTATATATAGTTGTATATATAACTATATGTATGCATACATATACATGTTGTGTACATATATATATATATATATATATATATACACACATGATGTGTTTGCATCTATACTATAAAGACTGTGGATATGTACATATATATATATATATATATATATGTACCATCTATCTCAAACCTGTAAACCCGATATAGGCATGGCTACGTAAATCCTTAGGAATCAGAGCCCCGCCGTTTCAAAAAGCTTCGGGCACAGAGGTTTCGGGTGCTTGGGTTTAGAATTTAGAAGTTTGGGGTTTAAGGTTTATAAGGAGCTTAGGATTCGGGGTTAGGGTTAAGGTGTACAACTTCAAAACACGGCTCTGTCACAATTTCTAGCAACTGGAGTCCAGTGGATTGTTGCGTTCGGGGCTTAGGGATCAGAATGTAGGGCGGAGGGTACGCCACGACAGCTCGCAGTGCTCGAGATCTATAGGGTGGTTTCTCACAGCATTTGGCGAAGGTGCATACATTGATGAGAAGCGATAGCAGTGTGGGGTGATGAAGAACCCGCGCTGAATTTACAAGTAGAAGTGTGGCGGGCACAGCGTGGGGGGGGGCGCCCCTGAGGCTTGGGAGGTGGGATTTTCCAAACCAGCCTTGTGACAAAGCGAGGAGGCGAAAATGAGGAGCCTGGTTCAGAAACCGTGCGGTCTATACTACGGTTCTTTATTCTAAAGATTCAATCACTTTCTTAATCAGGCTCCTACATCCCACAAACCATAGCCTTCCCGAGTACAAGGACCCCAGGTCTCAGGGTCTAGACTGACTGTCATCACCAAGCTATCGTTGCAACGCGATATCGCTTGTCCTTTAGTCTGCACAGGACGAATACATACGCAGTCGCACGCAGCCTTACCAAGCAATCTTCGGTGCATGTACAGCTCAAAGGGCTGTTGTACAGGATATACTGTATTGTTCTTACTTGGCTTGACTCACAGTCGAACATGCTCAAACCTGTGTGCATCTATGAATCTATGGCGTGCATGCATTTAACCTATCCACTGAAGGCAAGTCTCTTCTTCTTGTCCATGTCAAAGACAGCGAAGTGCAAGACATCCGTCGGTGAGACGCCAAGTTCCGTCGACGCGTTCCAAACGGGATCTCGGGTGTCCTGCAAAGCCAAACCAGAAAGGCTGAACTCATTGCTGTCTTTCCGGATCTGGTTGCCCATTTGCCGCAACTCAAGATGATCGCCCCGAACTGACTACGACTCTACACAAGAGGACGTTTGGCTCAGTCGAAAGTTCTTTGAAGGACGGCACAAATGCGAGCAGTAGCAAAATGGGACACATTGGAAGACACATCCAATTTGGCCAATTTGGCTATGGTCAAAATCAAGAACGCTTTACTTCTGCTACGGCTCCACAAGCCCAGAAAGCGCAGGGCTGCCTACTCAGCCACTGTGCAAGATACAGCGGTCCTCGATAACCTCAGTCTTGAAGAAGAAGCTCTTGCCAGCGACCGTAACCTCTCAGCCAAGAGACCATACTCGATGTCGATCTACTTGAAGGATCAGGAGACTTGGTAGGGAAAGCTCGGCCAGGATCTTTCATAAGCCAAGTTGCTTAGACCCCTGAGTCTTCAAGCAATAATGACCTGGACTCCTCGACTCCTCGTAGTTCCTCGTAGAAACGAACACCGCGGACAGATCCTGGCTACCACACGATCATCGTATACACAAACTTAAGCGAGACATCCTGACAGGCTACACGACCAGAACCCCAAAAGCGATAACCTTGACCCAAGCCCTAAACCCCAAGCCACAAAACATCTTAAAGGACCCATTGTAGTAGGGACCCTAAAATGTAGATGCTGTAGATTCGAACTACCCAGACCCCTGGGAAGATCTAGAAAGTCTTTTTTGCGACCCCGTACTATTACAGGGTACTCTACGGGAGCCCTCATTAAGGGACCTACTTTCCAGACCCTTTCGGGGGTCCAGGTAAGTCTGAAACCCCCAACCTCTTCGACCCCTCCGCCCTTCATAGGAACGACAAGCCCTTCTAGGACCCCTGATATGATGAAAATTCCTATAGATTACCCTTAGGTAGTGTGGGGTTCGGAACCCTGAACTCAGACCTCTGAAAGACTCAACCCCCAAGGGTCCAAGCAGTCCAATGTATGGCTTTTGTTACCTAAAGAAACGCCTAAAGTCCTATAATAGGACGCTTTTGGACGCTTTGGGAACTAAGCCTAACCCTAAACCCTAAACCCTAAACCCTAAACCCAAAACCCGAAACCGCCCTAAACCGCCCTAAACCTTCTAAATCCCTTAAAGACTTGGGGAGGCCCCGCTTCGCAGAAGGGGTCTGAGCCCTTGGATCCCGGAAGCCAGTCCTGGCTGGGAGGCGCTTGATCACGGGAGTTTCCGAAAATGAGGGGTACCTTATTGTGGGGTCCTTATAATCAGGATCCTAGTATTTCGGGTGCTCTATTAGGGTTTGGGAGTTTAGAGGTTTAGGGGTTTAGGAGGTTAGGGTTGAGGGTTTAGCATCTTAGGGTTTGGGATCCGGGTAGGTTTAGGGGTTTAGGAGGTCAGGGTTCAGGATTTAGGATGTTAGGGTTTAGGGTTCTAGGTTTAGGGTTTAGGATGTTAGGGTTTTGGGATTGGCAGTTTATTTTTTTCTGTTTGAGGTGTTGGGATTCTGGGTTTGGCAGTGTCTTTTCGCCTGAGATGTTGGGATTTTTGAATGAACACCGGAGGACTGTTGCAAGACAGAGAGCCCCGATGCCCATCTCCGATTCAAGACTGGCTTGGCTCAAGGCTTTGGGCTTAGGGTTGTGAGCAATGGGTTCTGCGATAGGAATCCCTTCCAAGACCAAAGTAGACACGACTAGATCTATACCCTCAACCTATATTTCACTGTAGCACTAAGCCCTCAAGCTATATGTATGTATATATGTATGTATGTCCGTATTTTGGTATGTATGTATGAAAGTATGTATGTATGTATGTATGTACAGCCATATGTGTATACAAATATGCAAGTACACACACACACACACACATATATATATATATATATATACACATATACACACATACACACATACATACATACATAAATACATACATACATACATACATATATACATATATACATACATGCATATATACATACATACATACATACATACATACATATGTATGAACTGTGTTTATATAGCAATATATGTATGTGTATGTATGTATATGTAGATATAGATACAGACCTGCGTGTAGTCAGTAGTCAGACATGCATCTTCAGGCTTGGACGCCTCAGCGCCCTAGCAAGCCGAAACCCTGAACCCTGATGCAGGGGCCTTGATACTTGGAATGGTGTTCCTTTAAAGGGTTCTTAAAAAGGGTTCTATAAGGGTAGGGTTCTCTGATATAGGGGCCTTAATAATTAGAACAGGGTTCTGGGGTATATTATACTATAGTTGCAATACGGAACCCCCAAAATAGTGTTGGTAATTATTTAGGCCTCTGTGCTAAACCCTTAAAATAGCCCTTATAGTAGCCCTTACAAACCCCTTTAAAGGAAGCCTGTTCTAACTATTCGGTAACTACTTAGGCCGCTGTACTAGCGTAATCAACCCCAAACCCAAAACCCTAAACCCACAACCCTAAACCCTGTCCGCATCGCGCAGACCGCGGGCCGAGAGGACCTCGAGGAGCAAAGAAACCTCCTGGAAGGTTTAGGGTTTAAGGTTTTTAGGGTTTAGGGGTTTAGGAATTAGGGGTTTAGGGTTTTGGGGTTTAGAGATACGGTTGATGAGAGGGCTCAGGTTTTGGGGTTCCTTTGAAGGGGTTGCGATCTATAAGGGTACCTAATTTTGGGGTCTCATAATCAGGATCCTGCTATTTAGGCTACTATATTAGGGTTGAGGGGTTGATGATGGGGCACCTTTAAGGGGTTTAGGGTTCCCGGGTTCCTCTAAAGGAATCTATAAGGCTACAAGGGTATCTTTAAGGGGTTCCCTTCAAGGGATCTATAAGGGTGCCAGGGGTCTTCAAAGGGATCTATAAGGGTGCCTTTAAGGGGGTTCACTAAGGGGATCTATAGGGTTTTAGGGTTTACAGTGTCGGGGTTGATGATATAAATCCTGCATTACCCTAATGACCTGTATGTTCCTTATTATGGGTAATGCAGGATTTATATCATCAACCGTAAGGAGGCACGCATGCCTAGGGGCTTAGAGTGAGTCAAGGGCCAGGAAGACGACAAATATGTCATATAGGCAGCTGTATGGAATATGTATATATATATATACATATCTATATATATATATATATATATATATCTATACGTATGGATTGAACCATATTCACGAAGACACCATTCACAGACAGCGCCACAAAATTCACAAGCCCTCAGCCTTAAATCCCACATCCTACATCCTAAGCCCCGGACCTTGAACCCTAAACCTCATGTAACCCCTGTTAAGCAGTTCTTACAAAGTACACCCCGCGAACAACCCATGTCCAAGAGATCCGCAGAAATACCTTGGCCGGTCCTTCTTCCCTGCATCTGCGGCCATGCCATGGCAAAAGAGTTTTGGGTTCAAACGGCTGGGCTCAGCTTGGTTGAGAAGTTGAAAACGGAAAGGATACGAACAGAAAGTAGAGAGCTAGCGTGTGGGGCTCAGTTGTTTTATAATTTGCTTCGAGGTTTCGGCGTGGGAGCTGAGAGGGTGTGGTTTGGGATGTCGCGGCTGAGGGCTAAAGATTATACTTTGACGCTTAGCTTGGGTTCGCGAATTAGTTTGTGTTTTAACGTTTCAGGCCGAGGATATGGGACTTTCGGTGGAGGGGGCGGGCGGGGTGCGCAGCATGCGATTTCCAGCAAAACGACTGAGACGATATCCATAAAGTTGCTATTACTTTGCAGACAGGTCAAGTTTTCAGAGCCACCCCGAAACTAACACCGACTTACAAAACATGATCCTGATGGCCTGGATCACAGAATATCTCCAGGAAGCCTAATACACATGTCTGGTTCATCAAGAAAAATCAAACATCGCAGGTACGACCATGGAAATATAATCTGATGGCTTAAGGTTACGGCTTAAGTTTGGGTTTGTGATTCAGAGTTTCGGGCTTAAGGATTTTAAGGTTCAGGGCTTCGGGCTGAGATATTGAAGGGTTGAGGATTTCGGGTTTGTGTGGCAAGGTACGGGGTGTAAGGTTCAGGGTTTCGGGCTTAGGGCTTAGGGTTCGCAACTCGCAGCTGTGACACACGTCCGCGGTTTTTCGCATCTGCCAATGGCAGAACCTCTCAGATCCATGGGAGGATCTAGAAAGTGAAACCAGTCTGTACCTTCAACTACTAACCAGTGGTTTTGGGGTTTCCCTTTGCTCTTTAGCTCCTTACTTAACGTGGATTATCATCATCCCTGGCTCCTTAGCTCCCATAATATCAATGGCTAGACTACCAAGACCTACTTTTGGTCGGGGGGTCTCAACAAATTCTGTATACGATCAAGGGCTTGGGTTTACGGTTTAGTGCTTAGTCTTTCGGGTTTGGTAACCAACACCCAGCCTGTTCTGTTTAGCAAAGCCCTGACTCTAGATCCTCCCAGATTGACTCCCAGAGGTATGGATCGTTGGGCGAGGCCTTCAAACGGGACGAAGCGTGATCGCACCGAGCCAACAGGAGAGTTTCATGGGGCGTGGGGGGGGGGGGGGGGGGGGGGGGGGGGGGGGGGGAAGGCTCCAAACGCTTTCTTACACACGGGGCAGTGTATAATAAGGAAGAATAAAGAGAGTAGGCGCTTGGGTACATGCAGTATGGGCAACTACTTATACAAACCATGATTATGAAGGTTCCCAATAATGTAGTTACTGCGGAACTGAATTACTGCTGATGACTACCCAGATTTTCCAGTATCCTTCAATTGAGGAGTATGCCTAAAGCGATAGTAAAATCCTTATACTGATTTAATGCATGTTCCTCAATCAAGGGATTTCAAAGATGTGCGAAAATAGTCCTACCTCTTTCCCTAAGGATCCAGTACCCAAATAACATACATATATATATATATATA